TTCTTCTTCTTCTTCTTCTTCTACTTCTTCTCTCCTTCTTCTTCTTCTTCTTCTTTTCTTCTTCCCTTTCTTCTTCTTCTTCTTTTCTTCTCTTTCTTCTTCGTCTCTTCTTCTTCTATTTTTTTTTAAAGGTGATATTTACTAAAAAATGGCTCTGGATTTGTACCTTGAGCAGAATCATCTTGTGAAGGTGGCAGTAATATGAAACTGGCATTGTAAGATACGCTGTCCTAAGCAATTCAGCTCTGTTTACAAGATAAATCTTATTTTAATGCAAACAAATCCACAGACAATCCTATTGTGTTGTTAGCCTAGAATGATCTAAGAGAAAAATATGTCACATTGAGTACTTGGTGCTATGTTAAAAGGCTATAAAATATTCAACTAAATGCGGTTGAAGAGTGGATTGAAAAACGTCATCTCAGCCACAATTCTTTGTTTGCTCTAGGAACTTTAATGTAGTGCATTTATTGTGGGCAATGCACATAAGGATGACACAATGTCAGCATCAAACTTATCTGGAAATATTTATGCTAGCACAAGGGAACGCCTCTTCCCTCCCCGGCTACATGCCTTGCTCCTCAACATGGCCTTTTAAACAACGGGCAGAATTGCATTTGGTGTATTGCACCTTGTGGAATTAAAGCAAGTCTAAAGAAAACTGCTCCAGCATCTGTCTTCTTTCAAGCAGATTGTCAACAAGGGGAGGGGGGAAGGAAGGAAGGGGAAACTTCGCGATGATGTTTTAAACCCTCCAGATAAACTGTCGCTTTGAGCCTTGACAGCTCAAGAACTTGACACATGTGCCTGCTCCCCAGAGGCTGTCCCCTGCATGCTTGGCAAGCTGATCACGGCTGCTGAGCTGTGACGCCACAGCGCTTGCCTGACCTGACATAATGGGCAGCTATTTACTGCAAACAAGGTAGATGGGAGAACATAGACTTAAATGATGCTCTGGTGTAAGAAGGAATCCACTAGGGCCCCCAGCCAGCCAGTCAATCTTCAGTATGTGTTTTTTTTTTCTTTCTTTCTTTCTTTTTTCCCCCTTCTTTCTCCCCCTTCTTTTCTGGGATCATTTATTCTTTCCCTAAGGAGCAGGTGACTGTGGCATAGCACTAAGCCTTCCCTCCCTAGATCAATAGAGAGGGTTAAAGAAACAATTGCAGGACAATAAACAGAAAGATAAAATGAACTTTGGATAACCACACCAACAGTTTGCTGTGCTCGTTTTTCATCTATTACTGTGGAAAGTAATAGCACAGGCCCCTGGAGGGCCTGCAAGGATGCCGTCAGCTTCACTCCAACATGCAGGCACAATCACACTGGGTTGGTGAAGAGCAGGTGTCAAAGCTAGAGTGAACCATACAAATGTTGTGTCTGTTACATGAATCCAACCACATCTGGTGTCAAATATTTCTCGTACACTACATTTTCACTCACCTATGAAACTGCTAAATGGGATGTGTCCACCAGTTCTGCCTCCCACTGTGGCAAGCCTAGTAGCAAGTTCAAGAAAAACCTAGCTTTTTATTTTAGCATGCCAGCTGCATAGTACAGGCAGCATTCTCCACTGATGTAAAACACTAACAGCATTGATCCAATATGCTGGTTTAAATCAGCTGAAAAATTCATCCTACTTAGCAAATGCAAGTGTACACATACACATTGTGATTACACAAAGTTTAGACCTATATGCCATTTGCATACATTCAGCAAAAGCAGTAGTGTGACAATTCACTTAGAGGCTCTACTTCATTCTATATTTCCTGACCCCTCTCTACATTACTAAATTTCACTGTTCAGCCTTGACTTTTTTAGTTTAAGTTTAGTACAAAAGTGTCATGAGATCTGTACAGAAAATAATCTTTTATTTATTTACTAAAGAATGTTCTGATTTTACAATAAATGTTGGCACCTGTTTGCATTAATTTGAGGCCCATCTAACATACCTGCATATACATCCAAGCACCTGCCTTGTCTCTGGGTGAAAAACTGGAAATGAAGTGCTCTGATGGGCTGCAGATATTAAATTTGTCAAAATACAGAATTTTATACTGCAGGTATGCTGCTTGCAGAGTAATTAATCCAAGATGTTATCAAAAATAATGCATACACGTAATGGGCTCCACATGCACAAAATGTTTTGTACATGCTACTTGTTAAAATGTTGCTTACTTCGTTGATGCACTCTCCATACTGAGATCTTTTGAAGCCTTATTAAAATATCGAGTTAATGTGAGGAATTAAGATGCTAATTGCAAAGAAGAAAAGGACACTACTTCCTGATAAACTCTATTAGATAAGCCTAATTACAGAGGCATCTCAGTAATGAAGGTGTTTAAAAAACAAGGTCCCACACTATTTGATGCAAGAAAGTTACCTCTAGGACCACATTCAGCCGTGCGAAACTGAAGAAGCATTGCTGTGGTGGTTGAGATAATCCACCAGGCACAAATGATCTGAAGGGCACCGAAGGTACAGCTGCTTCATTCTTCCCTGTCTTGACATAAGCCCTCCACTTGCTGTGCATCCGTGATTTCACTATGCATGAGTCAGGATCCTAGTGTATCTTAAGACAAAATTACCTATCAGAGACCTGAAAAGAGTAGCACAAACTGCCGTGAGTTGACTTGGCATGTGCACTTGGATTTGGTGCATGTCTGTGCATGGAAGAGCTGTCTCTGAACATGCCACATCAGAAACATCAGGTTTCTCTAAAAAATAACTCTAGCTTTTCTGCTTGTGTAAAACGTGCCCAAATAACAAGCATACACTTGCATATACATATAGGTAAAGCAGCATTGAAATACAATTGTAGATAGACTTGTAGTTATCTAACATGTTATCTAACATACACATAAATCATCTGCATGTTGTTATGACATAGGTATTATAAACATCCAAAGGATACTGTCAGAGAATTTACAGAATGAAAATAAAAAATGCTTGATCAGTATTCAATATGCTTCTGAAAAGAATACATGTTAGGACTTCGTATGAAGGGACCAACATTACTATGAGACTGCACTTTGGAAGAAAATAATACAATATCTCAATTCTACAGTGAAGATTCACACATTTGTATTTTTATACTGGGTTACACCCATAGCTGTCTTTATTTTCATCACATTTACTGTGGTACAGCTGAAGCATAGACTGTAAGCCACTTGGATAGAAGTCATGTTTGTCTATGTCTTCTGCAAAGCATTCAGTATACTTCAGGAAGAATAATAATTAACCATGCATGGATTTCTTTCAACAGATAGATGGTAAATTGAATGATGAGCTGTATCATGCATTAGTGATCTTTACTAAAGGCATCACTGTTCCCACAGATGATTGATTATGGAATACATTGGGAAACATTTTACTTTGAATGAATTCAGTCTTCATTCCATTATTTATTTTTTTCAATTTGCATTGGGATTTCCATTGTTGTTTATCTTGAGGACGTAAGTAATTGCCATGCAGACAAGAAAAGAATAACTGAAAAAAAAAATCATGAAGTTTAATTTAGGATGTCCATAGCCTCAACAAGAAATACTACTACTCACCTTCAAATTTCTTGGTTTTGTTTGAAAACAATACTCATTTCACTATGGAGAGAGAGCTGATTCCAGATCTACAACTCCCAGGCTATACTGGATTTTATCTTCCCATCACAGAGGAGTATTTCCAAATTCATAATGAAGCACAGAAAGGATGTTAACTACAAACTCACCCACTGTTGCCAAAGTTTCCCACACTGTCATAATTACATTGAGAGATTTAACCAGAAAATTAAAAACATCTGCAGGGGGGAGTGTCTGTACATTTGTTTCACACTGTTTGTACTAACATGAAGCTATTTCAGTTTCAGGAAAGTCTGAAAATAGCTTGCTTTCTCTGCTCATACAAGGGCTGTGTGGAACAAAACTCTCCTGTTAGAAATCAACCAAAATATCCACCGACAAATTTTTTCAGTGATGCCAGGCCATGCTCTTGACACAGACACATGACAGACACATAACCTGGAATATTTATGATGAAATTTTGGAAGATGATGGCATTAGTAAGGTCAGTGCCAGGGTGATACCAGTAGTGGGTTTAAAGGGGAAAAAAATGAAGTTGTATGCTCCATTTCACCTGTGGATGTCCAAATTATATTTTCTGTATAGGTCGTTAGCTTTAGAGACCTGTACTGCTGGACCTCAAAGGGGATGTAACAGAAAGCATTACCTGTTTCATTACTTGTGCAAGAAATCCCCATTTTCAGATGTGTGTTGCTTTTTCTGGCAGCAGAAAATGCTTGGTTCTATTTATGCATTTTAAAAGCTCTCTGCTTATTTGCTAATACAAGTGATGTGCTGATTCCCTGGTAGAATCAGCAGCTTGTGGTAACAGTATGTTTCAGAGAACAGTGCTGTACGTTAGCTCCGGAAGAACTGAATTCTAGATTTGATTCCTCTGTGTAGTGGGTATATTGTTCTAGGAAAATCATGTTCTCCACATCATACTACAGCTGAATATGGAAGACAAGTTAAATAGTCTTTTGGCATAAAATTTAAAAGTCTCAAAGCAGTTTCTTTCTTTGTCAGGTTAACATTTTAAGTTTCATGTCTTGATTCAAGATGCTGAGGTTTGGTTTCCTTATAATTTGTGAGTTTCTACAAGGGCAAGAAAATTTCTTTCTCACAAACGTGACACTTTTCCTTCTGTGAGCCTCTAAGCTAAAGTCTATATCCCAGTATTTTCTTGTATGTAGAGAACACTCAGTGATTTCAGCAGCCACTGGGAGACATCTCTGATCCCTGTGATGCTCACTGTCCACTTGGCTATGAGGTTTGGAGGGGTGCCTGATATCCTTTGGGTAGAGTGCAGGATGTGCTGGGGAGCTGAAGGAGTTCAGGTATCCCTTGGCCCCATTTTATAGCCTTACCACATTTCCCCCCCCCACCTCCCACCCAAAGATATCTGGCCTTTCAGGAGACCTGATTGTTTCACACATTACACGTTACACACTGGGCACATCACCAGGCACACAAGTCAGAGATACTTATCAGGTGCACCAAAAAGTCCAAAGGAAAAGGTCTGGGAAGCCTGAAATCAGAGGGTAACAATGATTTCCCCCTTTTCACACTTTCCCTGGGGATTTATGACTATACAGGAAAAATAATTTTGCTGTCTTCAGATACAAAAAGACAGAGTATCCAGACTCTCATGTGTCCACCATAAAACCCTTAAGTACCTGCACTATTAGACAAGTCCTGGCACTAAACTTCTCACTGCTTAGTAAAGAGAATTACTTCCCACAGCCACCAACAGCAGAAGCCAGGCTTGACACTGGCCAGATCCACTCCTGAAACAGCTCCAACATGAGAACATACAAGGACCTTCCTCTGGCATCCCCCAGCCCTGGGGTCATGATGCTTCCCTGAGACCAAGTTCAAAACTGTGTCCCATGTCAGAGAGAAGAGGGCAGTGAACCAGGTACCATTTCTTGTGAGGCACTGTACCACCAAGGTGCACTGTGTGAAAAGAACAGAGTTAGAAATCTGACAAAAGGAAATTTACCCAGCTACAGGCCTGGCTGCAAGAGACGCCTCCTAGCTCAACAAGAAGGATGGAGCTGAGCCTCTTCCTTCCACATATTTCTTTCTGGTTAACTTGCACCAAAACATAGCCAGTTTTTGTTTGTTTGTTTGTTTTTGTGAAAGTGTATCTTTTTATTTGCCTTGTGGGAATGAAAAGAGTGTTTTGTTTTATACTGAGGATTTTAAAAGGAGCAAGATGTTCTTTTGTGACTTTCATCCTAAATTGCCACCATCATATGCAATGTCAGTGGAGCAGGAGAAAGTGATTTCAGATCACCTAAATTGTAGGCACAATTCTTTCAAGTTGCTTAAGAAAATACTTATGGCATAGTGTCACCCATGGGTACATTTCTTTTTGAAAAAAAATATGCCTTGATTTTCCTGAATTTGCCTGAATTTTCTTAACAAAACTATGTATCTGGATGAGGTTTCTAGAGAGAGTTTTCTTTGACAATATCCCCGCTTATCTGCAGGTCTTAAGCTGATGATAGGTAATAGTATCCAGCAGAAGAAGGCAGGACACTTAAAGGGAGGTTTCTAATTAGGAGATTAATGCATGGAATGCATTAATCATCCCAAGCTAGGAACCATGATTATAGACAAGGACTAAATGGAAGAATATGACCGGTTCAATATTCACTTAATCTGTGTGTTCATAGACAATACCTATGCTCCCCCTAATGTTGATTCACAGGTGTACTTTCTTTTTTTGTGTCGAGGACTCAGACTTTCTCCTTTAGTAGTCTAGACTGTTACAAACCCCCCTTTTTAGCCACCCCAATTTAATGAAAGTCCACAAGCAAGGAATTGATGTTGGTGTCTTTTCAGAAAAACAAAACAAAACAAAACAAAACAAAAAACACTAAGATTATGATTAAAAAATTTACATACTGAACAAACTCCAGAGATGACACCCTTTAGGAAACCAACTGATTGATGTCTGTATTAGCCCAGATCTGGCATCTATATGCAAAGCTACACTTGTGTTGCCATATTCCCAATGTCTCTGGACTTAGTCAGATGTACATGGGGACATTTCCTTTGTGCTGGGAATGTGTTGTGTTGTAGCGTCCTCTATGGAAAACCGTGAGGCAGAATAATAAATTTGTGTATGATTTCTGTCTGCATCCTCACTGGAATGCATGTGGTAGTTACTATATTATGCCCTGAATCAGGCATCACACATACTTGTCCTTTGCAGAGCTGGGAGAGAGCCAACTGACTAACTAACTGTGGATAGGAACCAAGATCTCTTTTCCTTCTTCATCATGCAATCAAGATTCCAACCTGAATTTGAGGATACAGGGAAATCCAGGAAAACATCAGGAAATTTTCTTTGAGCTGGTGCAAATATCTGAAACATCTAGGGAGCTGCAACAACAGGGAAAAAAAATGAACAGAAAAGGGGTGGGAACGTGGGTATCATAACTAAAAGTATGTCCCAAGACAACCTCTTGTCCAGTTGTGACTGTGGAGTCCCATAAATTCAGTCTGCAGGTGCTTAAACCTTCACCTTAGACTTTCACTGTCTGCATTCTTACTGCTTACACAAAGCAGAGTTTATGTTAATGCCCAAATACCTAAAAAAAAAAAAAAAAAAAAAAAAAAAAAAAAAAAAAAAAAAAAGGAAAAGGAAAGAAAAAAAAAAGAAAAAGAAAAAAAGAAAAGAAAAGTGTAGTGATCAGTATCCATCATCTTTCCAACTGCCTTGTCACTACATCAATTAATACAATTGAGCAAAAAATGTCACAAGCCCGGTGGAAAAACCTTTACACAGCCTTTCAGGGGGAAGTTTACTTCCAGCTTTTTTCCCTTGCATTAGCTCCTGTCATCCACAAAACAACAGAACCCAGTGGTGTCAATTATATTTGATTGACTGAGTAAAGCACACACACAAATAAGCGAAAACAATGGACACAAAAATCTATATATGACTCCCCTTGTCAGTGAGAATGCCTGTCTTCTCCATTTTCATGCTGCACGGTGTCCTGCTGCTACAGGCTTAAATGTTTCCTTCAGCCCCCAAACTATCACCAATTAAGTTAGCAGGGTCTTCAAAGGTGTCAAATGACTCCCTGGGCAATTGGCTGTAACTGCTGTTCAATAAATGAGGTCTAATTTATCAGTTTAACTTCACTTTTAAAAACCTAATGTCTCCTGGTACCGTGTGCCATTTGCCCAGTGTGTGAAGAGATGCCTGCCACATCGCATTTTGAAAGTTGTGTGAGCTCTTGTTAGCAATCATACATTTCGTCCATCACACCTTTTCTCTCCTTTTGAAAGATGCATTTGAATAAAATATACTTGAGTGTTATGGACTTGTGTACACAATACCTCAGTAAGATATCCCTATAAAAACAAATACAATGAATTACACACAGCTTGGAGCTGGCTTTGGTTTGAGAAGGTTTGAACACCTCAGAACAGAGCCCCTTATTACTTTTTGCAATCCTTTTACTTTGACCCTTTGTGGAAACACAGTAGAAATGAACTTACCGGGGCTTTTTTAAGTGTCGGAGATCCAGCAAATCTGTGGCCAGATTGGATACAGGACATGCTCTCTCAGTGGATGCATCCACTCTTCACAAAACTAGGTGTAGGGTAGCATTGCAGCCTGCTGTCAGCACTCTAAGAGCATCAGGCAGACACAGACACAAAAGGTCAGAAAGGCTGGATACAAATTTAGGAGGTCGTGATTTAAATATACAGGGAATAAAACTATGCTTCAAGAAAAAAACAGCATGCAATATATTTATAACTAAAACTTAATTGTTTCATCCCATAATGTACTTAATCTAGTTAGTGTGTGTCCTGGAAAGCAAGTACATGAAATGGAGAGAAGTGGAAAGGTGAGGGTGGAAAAAAAAAACACAGAATTAGTGTATATAAACTCATGTTACAGTGTTACAGCACTTTTTTGTCACTGTAAGGTACAATATGCTTTTAATACAGATGAAGTTTATGCTAGGAATGAAGCTATTGTTTTCACATAAATTAAGATTAATATACAACAGTAGTAATGGAAATTCTTGGTATAACATTCACACATGGCAGCCTTAGCTGCATATTTGAGTAATGTTGAAGAGCTATTTCAATGTTTTGAATTTTTTTAATGTTAATAGTGAGATGCTCTGTGAGGCAAAGACTTCCCCATGTAAGCTTCTCTTTCAATGCAATTTTTTTCCTTTCCTACCCAATACAGGATTTGAAATCTAATGAATGTCTTTTTCTTGCACTGCAAATACACACACGCACACACACACACACACACACACACACACACACCCCACACCACTGGTCATACTATAGGTAGTGGATTAATGTATTTTTCATGTAACTTTCTTAATTGGCCTGTCTTTGTTTTGATCCAAAGATTTCAGCATCACACCTAGTCTTAACCTGAAATCTTCTTCTTAAATAACTGCAGAACCTTAATTTAAATTTGAGGTTGTTGATATCACTCATATTTACCTGATACACAGGAAATATTTTAGACTCCAAAGTTAGAAACAGCACAAGAAACATTCTGGCAGATGCCAAGGACACTGAATTTCCACTTTCAGAAAGAAGACACCATTGGAAAAGAGCTCTGAAAGACCTCTCCAAACAAGATCATTGAGGGTCAGGGTGACAGTGAAAGAACAGGAAGCGAGTTACAAGATTTACAACAATTACAAATCCACATATAAGGAACTGTCCTCTTAGAGAACAAGAACACTCTTTACCTTGAGTACACATAGAAGTAACACAGGTAGAGGGAAATGACCTTGTAATATATTTGTTGTCCCTGAACATCTTTCTCAACACCTGCAGACTTTTTTTATGTTTAACAGGCACTAAAATGTTATGTTCCATACATCCCCATGCAGTCTCAGCAAGTCTTTGTCAGTGTTTTACAGTATTTCTGGTTTATTATATCATCATTTGTTTGCCTTCTCATACATGATTGAGGACTATATTGTGATCAATGATTGCTGCTCTTCCCCTCCCTCTCTCATTTTCAAGTACAAAGCTGGTCACTCAAAGCGGAGATTTTTACCAGTGCCTATGCTATTAATCTAGCACTTTTTATGATTAAGTCCGTTTTGGTTCTGATACTGTAACATCATGCTTGTTTGGCTACTCCTTTAGGACACTTGGAACCCCTTCTATTGACAGCTTTTCTTCACTCTGCACCTGAGACAATTGTCATAAATGCACTTCTGCACTTTTTGTGCAAAGATTGCTGAGTACATAACTGCCCACTCAAACACTTTGTAACATCGTAACAGGTATTTAACCTCATATTCAAAAGAACCTCATTTTTATCCTGTTACCTACAAGCTTCACAATTCTTATATTAATCTCTACCTTAAATGATAATTTTCCATGTTAGAGTGTATCATTTTTTTTTTAATTGGACTCCAGGAAGCTCTGTTTTATCTTTTCCACAAGCTCAGTTACTGAGGAAATGTACTGAACCTTGTAAGTTTAAGTTGCTTTGATCACTTGTTTTCTGTTAGCTATGAGCTGTTTACCAACCTGTAAAGTTGAGTACAGTATCACAGTTTTCTTATGAGCCTTTCTGCCTGACTCGTGACCTCATGTACTGGAGCTTTCACAATTGCCACTCCTATTTTAAACTCACATTGAACTCAAAGAGTTAAATGCAGATTTGGGTTTTACTTCTATACTGGATAGGATCACCTCACTCAGTGTCACGTTGTATTGTGTGCATACTTCCATTCTAAACTTTGTTCTCAGTCAGAAGGAATAAGAAGGAAACAAAATCCTCCTTAGCTTCACTGCATGGTAACTTCCTGGGTAGAGTGGAATGCAGCTGCCCCAAGAGGTTATCTCTGCAGAAGGAAATGTGACCCTCAGGTATCTAAAACAGGCAAATGTAGTGCTTTCAGTACGAAGGCAGTGATAGAACAGATTCTGGATTTAGTTACAGGCAAGCATGGCAGTTTTAAGCCCTGTGCTATATGAATTTACCGTTAACAATGTGAAAAATGTGACTTTATAAGTATAATCAGAATAAATAATCATACTTTTTTATACATTGTATTGTTTGGATTAAAGCTGTTAATAAGCACACACAAGGACTTATCCTAATTACATGACCTTTCTGACAAGCTCCTACAACTTGTCTTCCACCCCCCTATGTAATAAAGCCCTGCTTTTCCTGCAGTGTGCTACTGAACTTCTCTTTGATAGTTTTAAGAGCCAAGTGAACTCTCTTTTCCTATTAGTCCCACATTCTGTTACCAGTTGTGGTTCTGGCAATCCTTATCATGTGAGTATTGGTATGACCCCAATTCTGCTGGTAGTATCGTGAAAGATGCTTTTTTTTTTTTTTTTTCTTTTTCCAGTAGACACTTGCATACCGGTCGTGCTGTGGACTATTGCCCTCTGGAGTTCAAAGCTGGGATGAGCGTTTTCTCAACATGCAATGTCTTTCCCAAGCAGGCAGAAGACTTGTCACTTTTAGTCTCTTTCTTTCCTTCCAGAGTTTTCAACAGAGCAGGAATTTTTCTGGCTTTCATTCAGCCTGCCTTCTTTGGCCTGCTGGTATAGAGAGCACTGAAATATTTTTTCCTTGAAAATGCACTTTTTGCTTTAGGGCCAAGCCAGCAGTGCTGCTAATCTTGGTTCATTACATTACTAATGCTTATCTTGACTTTAGAACAAAGTTTCAAAGAAGCTTAGAAGTCTTTAGCGTTTCTGGGCATCAGCATTTTCTTGTTCCCACACATTACCATTAATTATGGAAATTAATGTTCCAGATCTAACAGCCATCACAGAAGAGAAAAAAAAAATACAGATGAAAAGCTCAGCTAACATATTTTGCAGCAAGTTTTTTAAAAAGTACCACAGGAAATCAAGTTGAAAATAAGCAATGGTCCCTGTGGTTCTATTGTCTTCTGTGGGAATTTGGCTGTTGAGAGCCACTTTAAAAAGAAAGAAAGAAAGAAAGAAAGAAAGAAAGAAAGAAAGAAAGAAAGAAAGAAAGAAAGAAAGAAAGAAAGAAAGAAAGAAAGAAAGAAAGAAAGAAAGAAAGAAAGAAAGAAAGAAAGAAAGAAAGAAAGAAAGAAAGAAAGAAAGAAAGAAAGAAAGAAAGAAAGAAAGAAAGAAAGAAAGAAAGAAAGAAGGAAAGAAAGACAAAACTTAATTGGTAAAAGCTCTGTTCTAGATATAAAATCAAAAAAGAGTGGGATTTCAGTAACATATACATTCCAGTGAAAAAGGGAAGAAACTCATGAAATGGAAGGAAAGGAAAATAAAGATAGCAGAGTTTATCCCACTGCTTACACCCTACCCCTTTGGCTGCTTCAGGGTTTTGCAGGGACTACGGAGGATCAATTTGCCTCATAGGAAAGTTCCCTTTCTGAACTGCCACCTGCAATGGATGTGCCTCTGAAACCAATGGAATATTAAATCCTATACACATTTCTCAATGAAATGTGCATATCTGTGGTGTGTGCATTAGGTTAAGCAGCAGTATAGTAATGAAAGAGATACTCTTTTGCCATATTTTTGTTGTGCTGAATTTAGTGTAAATTAAACTGAGTACAGACACAGACTGATAACTGAAACTTTTATCAAGGCAAGCTAAACTGAAAACCCTGAAACTTTCTGCTTGAAAATACTGATGGATCCTGGTTTAGTAAAATTGCCTATGGCTTGTGCAATCATGCCCTCTAGGTATGTGTAATATTTGTCTGTATATAACCCCATTTGTTTGTCTGTCATAATATCATTTGAACTCTTGATTACATGGAGCTGTAGGAGGTGAAATGGTCCAAGAGAGAGTGAAACTCCGTAAGGTTTCATGAAAATAATTGCCAAGGATGAGCACAGGATCTATAGATAATCTGACAGAAGACATGGCTGTGCCAGACATTCTTGGCTATGAAGCAAGTTAGCCAGGAAGCACAAATCCACAGGAAACCAGCCTCTTCCAGCTCCAGTGATTACTGAACTACCTATTGTTAAGTAAGGTTTCTGTAGGAAACATCACCCCTGGCCCATGTTTAGAAACATACTCTGAATATTTGCAACTTAGTTAACCTGATTTAACTGCCCTCCCAGACCATGAGGTAGCCTCTACCTCCTTCCTTTATTGGATCTAGGTACCAGAACTGATCTTGATTTGTTTTGGTTTTGTATGGTTGGTGGGCAGTGAAATTAGGCGATGCTCTCAGAGGTCTGAAGGAGTGCAGGCATGGGGGAAGCTAAATCTCTCGACATCTTCTTTTGGGGGAACAATGCAGGTGGCAGTCCTACTGCCATGGGCATCTGCAAGGAGCTCCAAAGAGTCAAATGGACCATTCTCAACCAGAGAGGTCAGCGCTTAGATGTGTCAATGGCATTGGAAGATCATCCCCTTAAATCCCTGATAAGGAATATTTCACTTGACGAGAACAACATAATATAATCCTTGCTCTGCTGTAGCTTCTGAATAAAATGCAGGCAGGCAGTGTTGTTAGTACAGTTCCTAATGAAGATATACAGAGCTCTATTTTTGGAGAGTCTATAACAGGCCTAGTGACAGCCAATGGAGATTTATACTGCAGGATGTCCTCAGATATCTACTGGTTTCTCTCCCACAAAGGTATCCCACCAACCCACAGACTTTGTTCTGA